AAAAAAAAAAAAAAACAAAAAAAAACGTACTATAAAATAAGGAATCTCCTATTACCCTGGGAACTACTGACAAATGAGTCTTCTCCCCACTGGAAAAGGATCAGACAGAAGCTTTGCCCCAGTGGCCCCCAGACACTTCTGAGCAGCTGAGAAAAAACAAAGACCAAGAAGAGCCAGCAGACCCAGGTCCTGGGCTTGCCCTGTGGACCAGAGCACGGGGCCACTCCCGGCCCCTTCCAAATGCTTCAGGCTTCACATGTGTTCATTCATTCCATCCCCACAATCCCCTGGCGATGGAGCTGCTGGTGTCCCCATTTTACTCGGAGGGAGAATATAAGACAGGGAGACTCTGTGGAAAAAAATACACTCAGCCAGTGCATGTCAGACTAGGCCTCAAACCCAGGACCTCAGAGCCCCCAGTCCCAGGATTTAGGTCGGTGTCTCATTGCCTCAAGAACCACCACGAATGAGCGGTTCTCACACCAACCTGTAATCAAAGAGCGGCTGCAGGTCCTGGCCCATGACCTACACCATCTTCCTCATGGCCTGCCTCAGGCAGTCTGGGACTAATCACCCGAAGACAGCCACAGAGCTCCGCCGTGACGCCACGTGACAGATGACGCACACCTGCAAAACCTAGCGTGGGCTGCCTGGCTCATGGCCACAGACCGAAGAACAGGCCGTGCGCCGTGGCTCACGCCTGTAATCCTAGCACTTTGGGAGGCCAAGGCAGGCGGATCACCCTGAGGTCAGGAGTTCGAGACCAGCCTGACCAACAGGGCAAAATCCTCTCTCTCTTTTTTTTGAGACACAGTCTCACTCTGTCACCCAGGCTGCAGTGCAGTGGTGTGATCTCAGCTCACTGCAACCTCTGGCCCCACAGAGTTCAAGGGATTCTCCTGCCTCAGCTTCCCACACAGCTGGAATTACAGGCACCTGCCATTGCACCCAGCTAAATTTCTTATGTATTTTTAGTAGAGACGGGGTTTCACCATCTTTGCCAGGCTAGTCCTGAACTCCTGACTGCATGACCCACACACCTCGGCGTCCCAAAGTGCTGGGATTACTGGTGTGAGTCACTGCACCTGGCTGCAAAACTCCCTCTATTAAAAAAAAAAAACAGGCTGGGCGTGGTGGCTCACGCCTGTAATCCAAGCACTTTGGAGGCCAAGGCGGG